TCTATAAACGTAAAAAATGCTGTGTTTTTATTTCAATTATTTTGAATTAGGCTACATTCAAATCACGACTCACGTATAAAATTTCGCATTGAGCAGACATTGACGATGCGTTCAACGTTAATTCCACAGTTTCGGTCATTCAAAGAATGCCAGCGTTGTTATCGTATGAAAAGACACAGAAAATTTCACGCGACCAGCCGATTTGTGATCCGCAAACCCGCAATCAATAAGTAAAATTTTAAAAATAATTTTCACCCAAAATTGAATCGCATGAGTAATCCGATGTGTTAAATGCAGATATTTCATTTTTATGATTTATAACTTCCGCCCTGTACACACTAGCAGGATCTTATTAGCAAGTCCATTTTGGACTTTGTCAGGACCACAATACGGAGAAGGTTGGTTAGAAACGGTGCCAGTCAAAACCAGATAGACCATGCCCGAAAAATTTCCGAAACGTTTTGACCCCATCAAATTCGCCACGGATGACTCATAGAGGTAGGCTGCTGCCTTAATCGTTCGGCGTCCGGTAGTCACTAATTTTTGAACGATTTAAATCATTTTCACTTAAATATATAATATGCATTATCATGTAATGTAATTAATTAAATAAAACGTTGTTGATTAATAAAAAGAAAACTCGTATTTTTCAATTATAAAATACATTTAATTCACAGATTATAAGTCTAATACACTACAATTACAATACGTTAAGTTAATTATAATGCGGATAATTCTACCGATAAGTGTAATTTTTTATCTGTAGATTACGTAAATGAGGAATTTACGAAGACCTCGAATTGCATCAAAGAAGATATGGATTTTGCTGTCTGTTTTTTATTACCTCTTATTTTAACTCAATTCTAGACATAAAATTTATTCTAAGTTGGTACTAAGTATGATTGTTACCAACGTTAAAATCAATTTTTGTAACAAACCCTAAAACAAGTCATCCTAAAAGTTGTAGCGACTACATACTCATTATTTTTATGTGCCATGTTCTGAAGATATTTCTACATATTATACACGCCAGGATATATAAAAAATGTGAAATTGATCTCGAGGAAACTCAATTTGGATTCAGAAATGCTTTTGGAACAAGAGAAGCGTTGTTTAGTATCAACGTCCTTCTCCAGAGATGTCGTGAACAACAAAAACACATATCTGCTTGTTTCATAAACTATGAAAAGGCTTTCGATAGTGTGAAACACTCCAAATTAATAGAGATCCTACACCAAGTTCAATTAGATGGCAAGGACATCAGAATAAGTCAAAATTTATACTGGGGTCAAACAGCAGAAGTCAAGTTAGGAACAGTGAAAACAGCAGAAATTGAAATACAGAGAGGAGTCCGGCAGGGCTGTATTCTTTCGCCCCTATTCTTTAATCTGTACTCAGACAAAATCTTCAAAAATGCCTTAGAAAACTCAAATTATGAAATTAAAATCAACGGCGTAATTCTTAACGTCATTAGATATGGTGATGATACACTAATCATATGCGACAGCCTAGAAGGCTTACAGATAATACGAAACAAAATTAACTCAGCAGGAATTGATGCCGGTCTCAAAATAAATGCAAACAAAACTAAATTTATGATCTTTAGTCAGACCCCACACAGAGAGGCACAACTTGTTCTTGACCAAAAAAAAAATTGAACGGGAAGTATAATTACAGAAATTCTAGATTTGGGGAAAGAAATTAAATGCAGGATAGCAGCAGCTAGAACATCCTTCCAAAAAATGGAAACCCTGCACTGCAACGACAATTTAAATTTGAAATTGCGGCAACGCATGGCCGAATGTTGTATTTGGTCACTTCTCCTCTATGGTGTGGAAAGCTGAACATTAAAAAGGAATACAGAAAGAAGACTGGAGGCATTTGAGATGTGGATTCATAGAAGGATGCTGAGAGTCCCATGGACAGATCGAATGACCAACATCGAAATTCTAAGCAGAGCAAGAACAAACAGAAAATTGCTGTCAATAATCAAATGCAGAAATATTGCATACTTGAGACATATCACTAGAGGAGAAAAATACAAAATCCCACAACTAATTCTCAATGGAAAGATTGAGGGAAAGCGTAAACGAGGCCGAAGACATTTATCATAAATGAACAATATTAAAAAATGGACAGGCATATAAAACATTGGGGTGGTAATGAGAACGGCCTAAGATAGGAACTCCCTCTCCTTGGTGATTGCCAATGACCGGGGGACCGGGCATGGCACGTGAAGAACTAAGTAGGATAAACGTGTTTACTTTTGTCCATTAAAATATAGAATGCGTAAATTAAAATCAATTACAATAATTTCTTACATCGTTATTTAAGTAAATTACTGAAATTTTTGGGTAATATTGTCAAATGTAATTCTACAGTTGACTGATGTTGGGAAAGTACTGTAAGGTCTCGTTTTATGCGGTGGATACGTTCTATAGAAAAGCGCATATAAAAAATTCGCATAAAAAAGACTTTACTTGCCTTGAAAAAGTAGGGATACGTTCCGTAATTTTCTAAAATCGCATAAAACCAAAACAACGAGTTAAAATTAACTTAAAACAGCATAAAAAAGTTTGCAGAAATGAAAAGAAATAGACTGCTTAATAAATTACTTCGAATGTCTGAAAGAAATCAATATAAAAGCTTAAAATAAACTTGTATTCAAACTTAATTCAGTTTATTTTATTGTAAAGTAATATAGTTTTACATTTTTTTTGAATTTTTGGAATGTTTTTTAAGTCTCCAAATTTTTTAAAAATATTAAAAAATATACGGCCAGCTAGTGTTCACCCTACTTTAAACCCTTGTCCTCCCGCGACGTCTATGAGAATGCCCCGGGAAATCCAAC